CAGAATTGTCGCTGCAAGATTGAATGGTTATTTGGATTTTTTAGAATTAAATGGTAGTGGAATGTATAGTCCTACGTCACCACATGGATCATTCCAATATCACAAAGGTGAGGTGGCTATTTAATTAAACTTTAATTTCTAAGCACTAAAACACTTAGATGTATCCATGTATACCACTAGATTATTTCTGATAGTCCACAAATTGTTTCAACACATAGCAAACAGCCCTTTTCAAAGCCACAATGTATTTCAAAAAGAGAACTACCATTTCTGCTTAATATACATTTTGTAGACTTCCTTGACCTCAATTTCTTTATTGTATCAAAATTGGAGGGTGGGTGTTTGCCCGGGCATGGGCTCTTACCCGGACTATTACGGTATTAAAATTCTTCTATGCACTGTAATCATGGTGAAATTGATTTCATGAAGCTTTTTTTCAGACACCTAAGACAATTTTGGAATAACAACTATTGAAAACTGATTTGCCAAACTAACAAACACCAATGTTCTTAAAATAGTTTGATTTGAACAAAAATTACAATAATTTGAGTAGCAGATGTTTCATTTATATTGATTAAAAATAAAATTACAGTATATACGTTAATTGTCATTTACCCAATAGTCTGATCTATACACTGTCTTGACCTTTCTATGTATAGTACTGTCTATATGTTGAAGAACCTTATTTCTGTTCATTAAAATGTTTGCACTCACTGACAGTGGTGGTGAACAAACATTTCAACTTCTCTGAAACTTACATGCACACAGATTGAAATTGTGTTGTTTTAATTTTGCAGATATTAGCTTTAGTGAGATTGTCTTCAGAAACACTGCATTTTACCCAACTTGCATGACATTCTAGAACTAAAACTTTCTGTATTTCTTTGAATGTAGCATTTACACGTCATGTTTCATCCAGTGATGCTAGTCAGTTTAGCGGTACATTGCAATGTTATTTATTGCGATACATGAAAGCCCATCAACAACCTATTAATGAACTAAAGTCAGCAGGTGGCAGGATTGTGACAGCAAGTCAGGACCATACACTCAAGGTATTGTACTTTTCAATAGCAGATAGAATCAGAAAATCTTCGGGTGAACTGTCATAACACTTGTGCAATACCGCTAGCAAGATCTGTCAGTCTAGACCTGTATCTCAGACATGTTACGGCTGATCACATTCAAACGTCTCACACACATCATATATATTGAGATACAGTACTTGTGTACATCCAATTTGTGCAGCCATTTTAATGTTAAAAAATTATCAAAATCAATACTACTACCGTTCTGCAACCAGATCTCAGTTGTGTGTGCATGGATTTAAGTTATATGAAAAATATAATATGTAAATATGTAAAATCTTCAGTGGAACAACCAAGGAAACATATATCCGAAACACTGACGCAATCAAACGTTATACATCATCTTATTAGTTTTGACTCATTTCAGTTTTACTATTGAACCAATGGTATGACATGACATGACTTTACATTTCAGGTTTTTAGATTGGAAGATGCATTATGTTTATATACATTACATGGTCATGTTAGTAATGTTACTGCTTTGTACTTGGATCAAGTAAGTCCTTGACTATTCATTCTAATTTATATTCAATCAAAGTGACTTACATTTGACAATGTTTGGTCTTTGAAATCTGATTCATAAATCCTAATTATGATATTTGTTTACCTCTTAGCACATGCCATTGGCAGCAGTCAGTGGTGGAAGAAATGGTACAATTAGACTGTGGGATTTGTTAACTGGTGCATGTGTGCATCATTTACGTGGGCACCGTGGCGCTGTGTCATCTTTGATGTGTACTCCAGCCTATGTTGTTAGTGTGGGATTGGATGACAGATTGTGTCTTTGGGATAGATGTAGAGGAAATTTACTTAATGTTATTTACCAGGCAAGTATATAAATGGAGGATTAACCAGTATAGAAATTTAGTGGGCTCAGATTTAACTAGGATACTATAATTACTTGGTTTAGGTAAAAAGCAGTTACCATAAGTAAAACGTATTATTTTTAAATGATAATGTTCGGTTGGTGCAGTTCAATAATGAAACAAGCATTTTGGGCTTTATATACACACATCTTTTATGAGGTAAATATGGTATAGTGAAATTTTATTCACTGTAAGTTGATAACATCTCCATGTTGGAAATTATTGTAGTGACAATATCTGTGATTTTGAACTAAATATATTGTCTTAGACACATTTGCATGGGCAAAGCGATCCTACACAATGCTAATATCACATAAAATTTGATGCAAAACAAAGGTTCGAATAGCCATCATTGCTATGAAATTTGGCGGATGATGAGGACGGTATAAAATTATGAACACATACTATTATGGGAGTGACACATAAAATTATTGGTGAAAGGCCTTGCCTCTCAAGAAGCATCGTATTTGATATTGTACTGTACATCTTGTACTGTAATCCCTGAGGTTAGTTTGACTAAATTGATTTCATAAATTTCAATAGATGGCCCCCTCCTGGAGACCTGGGCACAACACTATGGCCATCTTTTTTAATTGCAACGTCGATATATACATTTGTAGCACATGTCCTATGCTTTCTGTGTTCACATTTCAGAGATGACCGTTTCAAATAGGCACAAATAAAAATCAGAGAAAAAAGATAGATAGTTACAGGTATTGCTGCTCTAAAATTCATTATTGTACTTTTCTATGAATTACAGGAAAGTGGTTTTAGTAGTACTGTCGCCATGATGTCACATGATTTACTCATAACAGGTGGCCAGGTAAATGAATTTATTTACCATGTCTTGTGCAGTTTGTGTGAGAAAACTGTTTTTACTGCAATTTTACTTTTGAAGATTGCCTCTTTCAAAGAAAATAAAATGTGGAATTTTTGTATTTTGTTTGTACATGATAATATCTTTGTATCTGTCATTTATTTATCATCTTATAAAGTTTATCATGTCTGGCTCTCTATCTAGGGTTGCTTGATAATGTGGGATGCCGTGCATGGAGTTAAACTACGCGTCATCAAGTTAGGATCTGATAATCAAACAGTGCAGCATGTTAGCATTATTGACCAGTCAACCATACTATGTGATTTTGGTAAAGAACTACGAGTTGTACATCTTCCAGCCATGCTACACAAGTCTGACTGAATGAAGCAATGTAATGTATATATGGAAGGACAACTAAAAGATGTATTTGCTTATTTCTGATTCTTAATGTTGGTATATTAATTACTTCCTCCACTTATATAGAAAACCTTATTATTTGAGACTAATCTTATTTCTTTTTATTTATTTTCAACCATTGTATGTATGATATCCATTATAATCATAGTCTGAGATTCATGCATCCAAATAAGAAAATACTCTTGAGTTGATCTTAAATTTGCCTGGTATGTTGATTTCTATGTCACTTTTTCTTCACTGCCACCACAACAAAATAACCAGAAGGTTTTTTCCAAAGTGGTTAAAATTATGTTACCACATTATTTGTGGTGTTTTCCTGACAGCCATAAAACAGGCAGCTTTCAGATTTATTTGAACGACCAAATTTTTCCTACTATAAGTTTGGTACAACATTTTTATGTTTTCTTAATTCTTTTCATAATTAATGTTCAAATTTCATATTCATTGCCTTGGATCGTGGTAACAACTTATGAAAGATGACTTTAGCACATTAACAAATTTTAGAGAGTAATAAGACTTTAAAAAAAAGTTATGTATATGGACGTATTCTTGTAAATTTGATTGTAGAAATGTATTTTTATTTAGTATGTAAAACAAACAATCTCTGATATTAGCTGATATTATTCAGTTTGCACAATTTGTATTCCTCCATGTTAGTAAATTAAAATTAGTGCTACCAGGGTAGATGTAAAACTTAGTGATACAGTAATTAATGTAATATATATATATATAAATTTTGATGATTTTTGAACAGGGATTATATTAAATCAGATTCTGGTGAAATGAACCAAACTTGCTCCAATCCATTCCAATTCAATCTGATCTCCTAACTAAATTTACCTAGAAAATTCTCAGTATCCCAAATACAGTGTGTCTGTTCCGGGGTCAATTCAGAAAACCCTTCTCTGAACTCTCCCTCTCCTCAATTAACCTAACTGTCAGCGAAAAAGAAATATGACCAGCAGTATTGCAATAAAACTCACTGTTATCAGCTTACTATTGAACTAATGATATAGCTGTATTGTTTACATCACTGCTGGTCATTGCACAACCTTTACTATTAGTATGAGCTACACCCTCCCATGTACAGACATGCATATTTAAGGTACTGAGAATTTAAAGAACTAAATTGTATCTATTAGAAGAATAGACATTATTAAGTGGTGAATCTAGGGGGCATGAAGTGAACAACGGAAGGACCAATGGGAGTGGTTTAAGGTGATGTTACTGAGTAGTCTGTAAGAATTACCTGTAAATTGTAATTTAATATGAAATAGTGATATTCTGTGATAAACCAAATATAAACCCAGCTATTTATATACACAGATATTTAAAATTAACAAACAGATATTTTACAAAGTTACTATTGTGAATGAATGAAGGGAATTACTCTTCTGTGGAATATAATGGCTCATTTTTTACTCTTACCAGACATCTGGTGTTACATGAAATTTATTTTTCCCCTTTTGCTACACCTTTTGTAAAATTTGTATTTTAACGTATTTTTTCCACTCTGATATTTAGAAAGCAGTTTTATTTTCATGTAGGTAGGTGTTGATGTATATGTAAATGATTCATTATAGTAAGGACAAGATTAGGGTATGCAGTTTTGATAGTCCAGTACATCTTGCATCAATCAAGTGTATTTTAAAAGTAATACAAACCACAGAGGATGCTTGGAAAGGTCTGATTGTGTAATATGAGACTAATGGAGACAAAATGAAATTTTATGATTTCCAATTCCCGAATTGATAGTGTTTGTTCACTTGCACATATTGACCTGAGGTCTACAAACTGGATGGTAGAACAGATTCCAAACGTAGAGTTGCAGTACACCACTCATCTGTGTTTCCAACTCGAAACATTGAAAAATCCCTTTGAATGAAAGTGCCATCAATCTAACTCGTATCAGTCTCTAAAGTTTTGCCCACTATTCTGTCTAAGCAAGAAAAACAAACATGCAAATTATCTTATATGGCAGGTATTTTTGGCAGTAAAAACTATGTCGTGGTTGTATTTACTCAACTGTATATAGTTCTTCTAGCTGCTCCTTTTTTACCCACCCACCCGCACTCACTGTGGTTTAAAAACGGTTTTAAATATTCTGTTAACAGAAATTGGTGTGACTCCTCCTTAATTCATGTCTTTTGACATCATAGTCATACTAGGGAAACATTTAAAGCGCTGGTCATAGAGCATCTACAAGTATACAATTTCCCCTCAAAACCTGAGCAGTACTTTGAGGTCAATGCACACAGACATTTGCACAAACCAGTCTCAATTCTCATTAATCTGGAAATTTATTTTGCATGCTTTGATGTGCTCAATAACTCGCCCATTTCTTTCTTTTCAAGTGTACCACTGCATGTATATTAAAATGTTTTCCATCATTTAGAGGTATTATAAATAATTGAAATAATGCATCACTGTCATTGCCTTGTTATCCATACCTCCTTATTCCTGACATAACTTGATGTAATCTTGGTTACTGGGAGTTTGTTCTTCCATTAGAGATGGACCAACAAGGTTGGTACTAGGACTTGTATGACATTCATTTGAATTGCCTTCCTTACTAAGTTTGAGAAATGTACATGACTGATTGTAATAGTATCAATAAAGATTCTACAGGAAAGCTCGACTATGCATGGCATGATGGGATGCAATGGAGCTATTTGCATGTAACTGAATAATGATGGAATGTGCTAATCAATTGGTACATGCCATGTACTCTCCACCTTTTTCCTGAATAGT